AGAACTCTTATTGATATTTCTTTGGCTATGTCTCTTTGGGCAAGGGAAACAAAAGGCGAAATAAACAAATTAGACTACAGTGAATTAAATTGTTTCCGCAGTGAAGGAAACCATAAACAAAATTAAAAAAAAATCTATTGAACAGAACATGATATTTGCCAATGATACATCCAATAAGAGGTAATATCCAAAATATATAATGAACTCATACAACTTAACACCAGGAAAAAAAATTCGATAATTTAACGGGCAGAGGACCTGAATACATATTTCTCCAAAAAGGACAATATGAAAGATGCTCAACATCACTATATATATATAATCAGAGAAATGCAAATTAAAACCACAATGAGATATCACCTCACATCTGTCAAAATGGCTATCATCGATAAATCCACAAACAACAAGTCCTGGTGAGGATGTGGCAAAAAGGGAATCCTTATACAGTATTAGTGAGATTATAAATTGTTGCAGCCACTATGGAAAACTGTATGGAGGTTCCTCAGAAAATTAAACATAGAACTACCATGTAACCCAGCAATTCTACTTCTGGGTATTTATCTGAAAAATCCAAAACACTGACTCAAAAAGCTATATGTATCCCTATGTTCACTGAAACATTATTTACAACAGTCAAAATAAGGAAGCAATCTATATGTCCTTTAATAGACAAATGGGTAAAGATGTGGTGTGTGTGTCTGTAATAGATATCACTCAGCCATAAAAAAGAATGAAATTTTGCCGTTTGCAACAGCATTGTTGGACCTACGGGATATTGTGCTAAGTGCAAGTCAGACAAAGATAAACACCATACAATTTCATTTATATGTGGCATATAAAAAATAAAGTAAATTAACAAAGAAAACAGAAACAAACTCATAGATACAGAGAACAAATTGATGGGTGCTAGATGTTAGGGGGGTTGGGAGGTGAGTGAAAATCAAGGGGAAGGGATTACGATGTGCAAATTGCCAGTCATAAAAAAGAGTCACAGGAATAAGTTTACCAATTGAGACAAATCAGTGGAGAGAGCCTAATACAAAAAGACATCACAGATTAGCCAAAGTCCTAAAGGGATGGATAACAAAAAAGACAAAAGGTGATACCTCTGAAACTATGAATAAGTGAAGATACAAATAACTGGTATGAAGGTAATTTGAGGGATCCTATTTTTCACTGACAGAAGAGGTCTGCATAGAGAAAGGTTAGAAACAGAATAAGAAGTCCAGACAAGTAAAAAAAAAAAAAAGGTTGGGAGAACTGCTTACAAGAAAGTGGGGTGGGGGGGGGGCGGGGAGGAGAAAGCAAATAAAAAGCTTACCAAGTAGAATTGAGTGCTGTGAGAATACAAATAAGCTTTAATGGAGCCAATATGTGTGATTATATGATTCAGCTAGATTGTTCAGGCCAGAGTTTATGAACTGTGAAGGTAGACTGGGCTGCTTTGGTGTCAAATGAAGGTTCTTGCAAAGAGTGTTGGTGAAGTGCTTGATTATAAAATCCCAGAGTGAAGAAGGCAGTGATACCAAAAATGATGGATGTTTTTCCAAGGAAGAACTGGATTTAATGACTGAATGGATATGGAATCTGATGAAGGAAAACAAAGAATTAAACAAGATTCCTGATTATCTGGTTGAAATGACAAGACTAATGACCAAAACAGAGATCTTTGAGAGGGAGTAGTCTACATAGATGTCTTGAAAATTTATTGTAAGGTTTAGATATGAAAAGCTTCTTAGAAGAACAGCTTTGCCATTTTTAAAAGGAATAGGAATAAGGTAAGTCTCAGAGAGGTTCAATGACTTTGCTGAAGTCTTAAGGCACTAAACAAAGGCTAGAAATGACTTTAAACTCCAGGCCATCCTATTACATCACAGAACCTCACTTGACATGATAGCAGGAAATACAGATGGTGATGCTTCTTGAGGAGATTCAGTAACACTAACATTGGTTTGAATTTCTAAGTTCATTTTAGGTGATAGTGGGGAAATATGATTTAGGAACAAAATGAATCCCAGGAGAAGCCAATCTGAGATAAAACATTTGCTCTGGTAATGCATATGGAGATAATCAAGAGTTGGATGTAGAACGATATAAGCACCTTAAAATATTCTAATGCAAGAACATTTTATGCTTGAAAATCCTCTCAATGTTATTTGGCAATTATAGATGACAGGACATATAAATTATTATGGCTTAGAATCTTAAACATTAAGAAGAGCTTTGCTTACTTTTAAGGTTCTTTTTATCTTACACAAATATGAAACACTGCAGTCTGATTAAGTCTCTTTTAAGGGGCTAGATATTTGCCTTACCTTTACTACCTTGTAGTCACACAAGTATTCCACCTCATAATTGTTTAGATTCCTTTTGGTGATTCCAATCGATTTACATGTGAGCTTTTCTTTTCTACATAATTCCTGAAGAGTATCAAGTGAAACTAGGCAAGGCACACACCAAGCTACAATAAGAAAATAGAACTCTTTACTAATGAAATAGCTACTGAATAAAATCAGAAAAGGAAAAGGAAAAACTTAACACTTCTATATCCCCAACCTTTCTACTGGCAATTTCACAGAACTAAAAATTCTTATGACAAGAAGACATTTTGGTGTCTTCAAGACAAAGTTAAGCATTAAATAATTATTGTGTTAAATTGGTCTTCTTGGACTTTCTCATGGGCTCCTATGCTACTGTGTTTAATTAATGTCACTTAATTTCACTGAGCCACCTGAACAAAATGCTTCATAGTGAGTCTGTTAGCTTTCTTAAGATTACATATAGATGCAAGGGTCAAAAGGGATAATGTTTTTGACTTTTCCATTATCGTCTACATGGAACACAATTGCTGATTTAATAAAATGTAGCTTTCTAGGATATACTTATTAGAAATATCTTATATACATTTTAAAAGAATCTTGTAATTTGTTAAAAATTTAAGAACTTTTCCCCTTTTCTCTTAGTTGGATAATAAGAACTGAAATTTAACTGAAATATAGTTCTATAGTTACATGCTCATGCAGTTTGCAATGTAGCATGAAATTTTAACTCCACTTATTTTGCCCATGTGCCAACGTCATTATTATGAAGGTGAGTAATCCCCAGTTATAATAAAACAATGGAGAGTTTATTGAGTTTTGTCATACTCATTTCCTGTATTTTTTTTAAACCAAGAATTACAAAACAGTCAATTTACATGACCCATATACCAAGCTTGAAGAAAATCAGATAGACTGATAATCAATCTTCCAGTAAGCCAGTATCTTATTGTACTGCAGCAGATTTTACCCTCAAATTTCTGCTCCCATACTGCTGATAAAATAGGTTGTTTAGAAATCTGCAATAAACTTGGTTTCATGGGTAGTGTTATGGTAAGCACTAGAGAGGATCAAAGGTCCTCTGCCCCAGCCTTTGCTAGGCCAGTTACCTATTAGGACTTTAGTGAGATTTTCACTGTTTTAGGTTTCAGATTCACTGAGAAAATGTGAGAGTTGGAGTTAATTGGGGTTAACAAACAAAATCTATCAGTAAACTCAGGCTTTACTTGGTAGCTCTCCAAGGTAGTTACGATAACCTTTTGTGTTTTGAGGTAATTCAGAGAGACCACAGCTCCTCTTGCTACATCCATTCTTCACCCTCCACGCACACAGGGATTTCATTGTCAGAATCCCTGAAACAGGGCTTCCACCCCGCACCCCTTCCTACAAAGATTCAATTCTAGATCAAGAAGGTAAAAGAAATTCCCCCCACCCCCCAAAAAAATTGGGAGGAAGAGGTTGCTTGCTTCGGAGTGGTGGTTTGGGGTAGAAAGCAGTAGGAAAGAAATGAACCCTTAAATCCTTTCCATTAAAAAAAACTTCAGGATGTTTTGTGCAAAATTAACCTCATTATGTTGATCACATGCAAAAGAGGTTCCTTTAGGATATCTACCCCAGGTGATTTGTCTGCTGTTCCTACCATTCTCACCTAGTTGAAGTAACAAGAAGATTCAAGACACAACCCTCGATGGAAATGCTGCTGAGAGTTGAAAAAAGAAAAAGAAAAAAGGGGGTGCATAAAACACTATTGGTAACAATTTCTATTATCTATGATGTAGGGAAAAAATTCATTTGCAAGATTAAACATTTCATTTCCACCACAAAAACCTCACAATAGTTCACAGTAATCTCAAGTGGAAGAACATTTGGGGGATAAAGACTTGATAATCTATGTGGGGAGGAATAGTCCTGGAAAACACCTTCAAATTCTAGAATGCAATTCAAGTTCCAGTCTTTCAAAGGGCGCACATGAATGCATAAACCTTCAGTACCTAATTCTTTGGCGTCTACGCAAATAATATGCAAGTTCCTGGTGGATATAAAAATGATTCCAGGCTAGAGGATACGTCCTCAAATACCCACTTACTGGGATAATCTCCGATGTGGAGTTTCATCTCCTTAGTGAGATCGAATTAGGGTGTATTCTCACTTCATTTCCTTTATCAGCAGTCATAATTCAGCGCCAATTTCTTTCTTTCCTCTGATACTGAGGTCACATTTAAACCACCGGTACCTAGCTAAAACGCCAGCCCCAACACTAAATGTCCCGCTCAAACAACCACAAAAGAGTCATGCCACACGCGCGCCCACAGCAACTCGACCCCACTGGGGATTAGCCGGAGTCGCGGCGGCCGCCTGAATACCTCCACACGAATACCGGGCGAGGAGGGGCCGCGAGGCCCAAGGGACCTCGGTGGGACGGAGGGGGCCGATCCCGGCGGCCGACGCACCAGCTGGGGCGCAGGGGGAAACTCCGGGGAGCGAGCTGGCCAAGCCACGAGAAGGGTCAGGGGCCGGGGAAAAGGGTGAAGCCCGCGGCGCGCATTTGGGGGCCCAGGTGTCAGCAGGGCGGGAGGCGGCGCAGCACTCGGCCTCGCCCGCGCGTCCCGGCAAGGTTCCCGGGCCTGGGGAGTTCGCCGGGAGAACGGGTGATAATGAGGGGCGCCGCTCTCTAGCCCTCACCTACTCGCGCCTCGGCCCCGGCCGCCGCCATCTTGAAGAGCTTTCATTCAAACTGGCGCGGTCAGACGGGATAGTGCAACGGGCCGGCACCCCGCCCCTGCTGGCCAGCGCGGGAGTGGGGGGCCGGGCTGAGGGGCTGGACCCCGCGAGGCGTGCTGACGTCACTGGAGGCCGACCCCCGGCATCAGCGGCGAGCGCGCCTGCGCCCCGCGTTACAGGCAGGCGCGCGGGAGGGTGCGGGAGGGAGTAAAGGCCGCGGAGCGGAGGGCCTCGTTGGGGGGACTGGGCGGGATCCAAGGGCCGGAGAGTCGGCCCCAGGTTAGGTTATCGGCCACCTGCCTCTGCCTGGCTGGTATATCGCCTAATCAAGGGACACCTCTGCCAGGCTTTCCCACGCGTTTTAGTTTTACATTGCACTACGTGAACACTGCAAAGTCCAAAACAGTCGGACTATATGGTGCGTGGTCCTTCCGTGCCTGTTTCTCAGCCACCTGAGCGCGACTAACCATTTTTAAAAAAGATTTAATTTATTTATTTTTAGAGAGAGGGGAAGGAGAGAGGGAAACAGATCGGTTGCCTCTTGCCCCCAACTGGGGACCTGGCCCGCAACGGGGAACGGAACAGGCTACCTACCTTTCAGTTTGTGGTTCCAACGCCCAACCCACTGAGCCACACCAATCTGGGCTGCCGACTAACCATTGTTGTTTCCTCCTACGTTACTCTGATTCCAGGCTATCGAAGTTGGCTGAACATCGGGGGCGTTTCTGGACGGGATTTGCTTTCTGGTCCCACTCGCAGATTGATTTAATTGGCATGGGGCGTGGCCTGGGCACTGGAATTGTACAGCTCCCCAGGTGGTTGTAGTGTGCAGCTGGTTGAAACCACCGTCAAGATCGTAGCTTCTCTCGCACCTCAGTGGGCGTAGGAATCGTCCCGGATCGTGTTAAAACGCAGATTCGAAAGGCAGGTCTAGGCTGGGACCTGAGGTCTTGCGTTTCGGATGAGCCGATAGTGTTCTGATGATGCTTCTGGATTGGGGCCATACTTTTGTAACAAGGTTGCACTTACACCCAAGCCCTCTAGTAGGACAACTGCAGGAGCTTCTATTGGGTTTCTACTCCTCCCCACCCACATCCAGTCGTCACACTGCAGCCCTGGTGGTGGTCCTAATCCAGCCATTTTCAACCTTTTCATCTCATGGCACACATAAACTACAAAAATTCTGCAGCACACCAAAAATGTATCCAAAAAAAATATATTTTTGGCTCTGTGACCCCCCCCCCCAAAGGTATGATTTTGATTCATTCACACCAGATGGCTATTGTGTTGGCTATCGTCAATTTTTTAAAAACAATCTAAGGAAAAAGTGACCCTGACTAAATAGTCAAGTATTGCATGTTTTTAAAAATTCTTGTGGCGCACTGGTTGAAAATCACTGTTTTAAACAATCTAAAGCAGAAATCGTATAAGAGTAAATTGCAAAAACTTTGGTAGAAAGCAGTTTGCCATCTACCAAGGATTTAAAAAATAAATTTACATTAAAAGTTACAGAAATATTTCACAGCATGTTTAAATTTTGAAATACCAGAAATAAACAGAACATTAAAGGAATTAGTATTTGTTTCCATTACGAAATAGTGTCTAGCCATTAAAAAAGGTCTTTATGAAGCCTTTGGTATCATGGGGTTTAATATGTCAAGCAAAACAAACAACAAAAACCTGTAAAATATAGTTTCAATTATGTAAAAAATGTATACGAAGGTAAATATAAATAATCTGTGGATAATTTTTGAAGTAAAAAATTTTAACTTTACAAATTTAACCAGTAATCCTACCAAAGATGGGGGAAATGTAGGTATTTTCTAGGCAAGGAGAATAGCATTGACTAAAGACCTAGGGATAGGGAGCAAGGAATATTCAAAGTTACAAATTAGAATAGGAGGAATTGATGAGCAGTGAGGCTTGAGAAATGGGCAAGAACCCTGTCACAAAGACCTTCCAAGTGACAGGGTTGAATACGACCTTTTATTCCTCTTTATCAAGGCGATTGATAAGGGGAGAGGACTTGGAGTCTCACCTCCTTCCCAGGGCTTCTCTCACTACTCCTTCCCAGCTGTACCCACTGTATGTTCTGACAGCACCCCTTGAGTATCCAGTCTCAGGCAATTCTTTCCTGGTTTTCTTTCTACCTCATTGGCAACTTTTCTCTCCCCTTTCTGGATGCCTTTCCTCTATCCAACTTAAATGCTAGGGTTTCTCAGGGCTTGGCTCTGAGATGTTTCTCTTATGCTCTCTTCCTAAATGACTGCCTCAGTTCCCGTGGATTTAAATATCATCTTTATCTAACCTTCCTGCCTTTTGTCTGTAGTCCTGATCTCTATCTGGAATTCCAGACTTTAATATCTACAGTGCCTAGCTCACATACCCACTGAGGCGTTGCACAAACACCTCAAATCGAACACACTCATAAAAGTAACCTTGATTTTTGCCACCAGACCTCCATCCTCCCCACAAACTCTCGAAGTAGGGTACAGGGACTCAAAACCCTTAGAGGGTGCCTAAGTTCAAAACTATTCCCATAATACCAAGATGTTATCTGCCTTCTTTATTCTCCTTTCATGAGTATACAGTAAAGTTTTCCAGAGGTATGCAACTTGGATATTGCAAACAGATTGAAGCAGCAGATACCAGAACAGAGCTATCATTGTAAGTCAGATATTACAAAGATTTGACAAAATATAAAACAATGCCACTCCTTTTCTTTTGAAAAGTTATTTTTTCATAAAATGTTTTATTTAAAAGTGAATAGTTAAGTCTCTCAGTTTTAATTGCTATATGGTAAAAATATTTATCACCAATATAAACAAATGCTCTTTTGGTTCTCTGTAATTTTTAAAGGAGTGTAAAGGAGTTCCAAGACTAAACAGTTTGAGAAGCTTGGTAAACCCTGGCTAAAATGGAGAGGAAAATTAGAAGCCATTGAGAGGCATACACACCAGTGACCTCAAGGGAAAAACAAGGTATGCCTCTTTCCCATAATTTTTTTTCATAAAGACCATGGAAAACATGAGGTCCATGAAGTGTCTACTCTTCCATTTAAATAAATACTCTTCTTCAAGAGGCAGAGAATACTAGAGTGGACACTGGAAATGTGAATTGAAAAAATGCACATACCATGCTTATAATAAGCAATTAAAAAATCTTTGAAAAGCATCTGAATATTAGTTCAAAATTCACTGTATATTTACTTTGAAACCTTGGATAAATTATTTCACTTCTTTGAATCTACTTCCACATATAGAACATAGAAATAAAATGCTGTGGTACTCTCTACGTATTTCAACTACTCATGGAGTTGTGGGGAGATCAGAATTTAAAAAAAAGATAGTGAATAAAAGCAAATAAACAACAGTATCATTATGAACGTTACATGGCTGCTCATTGTAGAAATCCTGACACTTTGCCATAGAACTCGTGCTCAGATAATTACTCTTACACATGTAAAGGGTTTCAGTTTGTAGTGAAATATTCTGTGGCCTCCCAAGACTTCCACAGTATTACATAGGCATTTCTTTCTATTTTCATATATGGCCCTGTTCTTTAAGCAATGTCAGGTATGTAAATAGGCAAAATTATAACAGCAATTTGACAAAATATTTTGCTAGTAAAAATGCTCAAGTTTTAAATATATGACACTGCAAAAAAAGAATGGCATGTGCAAGAAAAGATTATCAAGATGTTCGCCAAAATATCTTACCAGTTGTTACTCTGGGTTTTTATATTTTCTTCTTTTTCAGTTTTACTTTTATAATTAACATGTACCACTTTATGATCAAAAGAATGTTAAAGCTATTTTCACCTTGAAAAGTAAAAAAATGCTAGAAAATTTAATTGGTGAATCTTAGGTAAGTTCAAAAGAAAAAAATCTGTCATCTGAGGATACAAGAAAATTTGGGAGTATATTTCATCAGGTAATAGAGCACTTTTGATGACAGTATAAAATTTGGCATGTTTGGGAGAAAAACATACAGATCTGACCAATAAAGGCAGAAGCAGGGGTATTTCTTTCCTTCTTGTGCTTCTAAACAAACCCTAAAATATGCAACAGATGTATTTACTGGCCACGTTCCCATAGGACAAAAATATGACATTGTTATTTTTTCTTCCGTGTAATTCACTGACTTGATAGAAATTTACTGAACACCAATATTCGGGTACTATTCTGGGGGCTGAGACACAATGGTCACTAAGACAGTTTCTGCTTTTACAGTGCTTAATAATCTTGTGGAGAAAGCAGTCAAATAAGTAAATTATTACATGGATATGAAAGCTTATTTTTTGTATCTTTTTTAAAAGAATTAATCCTCACCTGAAGATTTGCCTATTGATTTTAGAGAGGAAGAAACATTGATATGAGAGAGAAACATTGATGTGAGAGGGAAGTATCAATTGGTTGCCTCCTGCATGCACCCCAACCTGGGACTGAACCTGCAACGTAGGTATGTGCCCTGACCAGGGATCAAACCTGCAACCTTTTGGTGTACAGGATGTCACTCTAACCAACCGAGCCACCTGGCCAGGGTGTAAAGAAAACTCCTGAATAAACCCTTATGACATTTTATTCTACAAGTTTCAAAACTACTTGAGGGGGTGACAGATTTTTCTGTGAAGGGCCAGACTGTAAATACTTTAACCTTTGTAGGCCACAGCCTCTGTTGCAACTACTCACTTTGCCATTAGAGTGAAAATGGCCACAAATACATACACAATTCATTGTGGCTATGTTCTAATAAATTTTTACTTACAAAACTAGATGTGGGGTAGAACTAGCATACTGGCCATGGTTTGCTAATCCCTGATCTGATAGTAAAATGAGCTAACAATAATTTCAAAGTAAAATCTTAACACACTTTTCCGAAGATAACTGAAAGCATTTAGACTTAGCAGTTCAATTACCTGAGTTGGTATTTTCCTATTTTCTGAAAACACTTAATGACTTATACATATGATTATTTTATTTCAAAGTTTTTATAACTTTGGAAAAAATCCTAAGATACAACTAAGTATTCAGCCTTAATAAGG